AGAAAAGTAACTAAATAAGAGAACACGAAAACGATTAAATCATGTGCAAAATCAAGTGTGATTTTACATTAACAAGCAACATAAGTGTGTGCGAACCGCATGGCCTCGCCACCCTAGGTCGCGGTCAAAGTCATGTGAATCACATGTGATTCGATCATTTTCTTATTCTCTTATTTGGTTAGTGTTCCCGTATGAATCTGTCTCTCTCTCTCTCTCTTTCTATATATATATATATATATATATATATATATATATATGTATATAATGGATAAGGAAAGTAATTATACCTAAAAGAAAAGGAGACAAAATCATCTACTTTCCAAGGAAAAAAAAGGTATATGAACTTTTCCCCTTTAGACAAAATAATTTCGATTATTTTATGCATTTAAGTTCGAATTTGAATCGCAAAATTAATCGAACCGAAAAGACAAGTTTGAATTAACTGGTCTAGTCTATCGGGCCCGAATCCACCTTATCTTATAAGCCAAGGACTCATAGAAAAGGATTGAACCTGTGGATAATGATTGGTCAAAAAACAACCCCTTTTTTTTGAAGATTTAGACTTTAGAATTGCTTCCATGGAAACAACAATTAATTTTGTTGGAAAAAAACATCAGACCATTTCAAAATAATACTTGTTTTTGGTTGACTATACCAGACTCAAGAGGATCAGATCTCTAAACCAGATAATATGCATCTCTATGACTCTATTCCACATGATTCGTGTAAAGTGATGATAAATTGCAAGTTTTTAACCAATAACTGGTTATTTTGATAAACTTATAGCACTTGTAAAATTAAAAGGGTAATTTGTAATAAGGATTTTAAGAAAGGAGTTAAATTTTTTTTTGATTAACCTGGATATCCAACTCGTTATGCGAGCCGACTAATCTTAGGGCGACCACCTGCTTTGCAGATAGCCTGGAGTCACCGCATTTAAACCTCCGTGGCCACAAGGGGATTTTTATTCCTCATTGGATTTGAACATGGACCTCCTGGTACTTTTGACCTTTGGAGCCAAACTTAAACCAATGGTGCACCATTCTTGTGGTTAAGAAAGGAGTTAATTGTTGTTAACTGAAAATGAAAGGTGAAAAGATTAACGTGTCATTAAATATGAATTGAGGACTTGTTTTTTTTTTTTTTGAAGTATATAATATTTATATACGGCAAATGCAACAAATAAACTCACACATCCTCCTCACCTATGGTGAGGTTTGAACCCCTGACCTCTTAGAAGGCCAAGGGCTACGATACCGCTAGGCCAAAAGCCCATTGGTAAAGTAAGAGACATTAGATGTGTAAGAGGGAGAAGTGAAATCAGTATTGTTGGAAGACAGCGTATTAATCAAAAAAGTATGTATTGTTTGTAAAATTCATGACAAGTTGTTCGTTCGTTGAAATAAGGAGTGTGATAAGTTTTTGAAAACTTTGAGATGTATTATAAACCTTTTTGAGATGGACATTACTAATTTTGGCTGCAGACGGGTTGGATTGGTCAAGTTTAAAGCATTTGACTTTGAACAATCCAACCCAATATTTGCAGTTTGAAAATTTTCAACTCAAACAGCACGGGTTGGGCTTGATTGGTCGGGTTGAAATTTTGGTACATATTTTACAATCTGGCTAAGCGATTTAGTTTACACAAAATAAAATCAAAAATGAGAAAATACAAATAAGGCTAACAAACTCAAAGAAGAAATTGGAAGGTTCATGCAAATAAGAAAGTCAAATTACGATTGAAATTATTATGAATATAGCCAATTTTGGGTTGATATAATGTCTAATGTACATATATGAATTGGAAAAAACGTAACAATCATATAAATCAATTGTATAGAAAGACATCAAGTTCATCGGGTTTGAGTTGGGTTCAAATAGTCATAACCAAATTTCAACCCATATGATTTGTAGATTTTACAACTCGATTAAGTATTGAGTCGTTTCCGATTAGGTGGGCTCGGGTTGGATTAGTCAGGTATTTTTTTTGTGCACTCCTGAAAAAAGTAGATGATTTTTTGCCTCAACCTGCCTCTATAACAGAAAAATGGGCACTTGCAAAATCTTTGCTATTTTGGTTCAATTGAAATAAAAAAAAAGTCCAGAATATTTTGACGTAGATCAAAGACCCACAAAGTCGTCCAATGTGTTTTTAGCTAAATTCCACTGTTTCAAAGGATCTTTTAAGTTTTTTGGTTGATTTCGAGATACTTTTTCGTTTTTTTGGTTGATTTCGATATACTTTTTCGTTTTTTGGTTGATTTCGAGCGACTTTTTTCGATCTTAAGATTGATGTTATTTATATTTTCTAATATCATACAACACCCTTAAAGTTTCGTGAGTGTACCTTTCATAACATAAATAATATTCTACTTAGGAAAATAAGTTAAGTGTGTGCAAGGGACCCCGCCTAGGACTTAATTGCATGGACGTACCTAATACAGAGCATACGTTGGCCCGTGCCACTATATTCTTCATCCATTATAATATAAAAAATTCTAGTCTCATGAAGAGTGTTACTGTATTAATTTGTTGTATGTCACCATATATATTTTGAACTTACAATAAAGACACAAGTTTCCCTTGGTTTAGTAGGTTTACAATAATTTTCTTCCACCCCAAACCCGAGTTCAAATTCCGTTATCATCATTTTCTTAGTTTTTAACTTTTAATTTTATATTTATTATGTTTTCAAAAACAAATTTATAATAAAATACCTGAACGCATGACCTCACATATGAAAAATAAGGAACTAACCAAGAAACCAATGATGATTTTGTGAAAATATACTTATATGTGTTTCTTATAGTCAAATGGTATCACCATTTGAAAATATATCATTATATAGTAATTGTCTCCTCACATAGGGGTGCTTAAAAACCCGACCAACCCGATCAACCCAACCTAACACAAAATAACCCAACCTGAAGCAACCTAATGTATAATCGAGTTGTAAAATTGTCAAACCGTAGATATTGGTTGATATTGGGTTACTATTGTTTGAACCAGACCTAACCCGACGAATCTGATATCCTTTTACTTTTTGGATTTAATATGATTGTTAAATTTCTATTAATATATATATTAGACAATTACACTATCATGTATGCTTTTCATATACACATACTTTCAATCTATTCATATCTCTATATAACTCATTTGTATATATGTTCAGTAGCTTTGAACATATATAAGTAAATTGAGAAAATTAACTGAATGTAATATACGTAAGAAATATGAATAAGTTGTATCAAATGGTTGATGATGAAAAAGAAATTATGAGTAGATAAATAGCATATTCAAGGTTAGAAGAATATTTTAATGTACCAAAATATCAATCCGACCAACTCGTACGGGTTGGGTTGGGTTGCACTTTGGTTTGAGTTGAGGGTTGGGTTAAGATTTTTCATACTGTAAACATTGAGTTGAGTTGTTCAAATGTCTTCAAACCGATCAACTCAACCAATGAACACCGCTATTCTTACATATATCAATATCAAAACTTATTTTTAATTCATATTTAACTTGATTATCACATAAAAAAAAATCCAATTTTCCAAAGGAATATTAATTATGTTGACCATGACGTAAGACTCAATTAGAAACTTTTGCTTATTAAATAGAGAAAATTTCTGGCAGGTAAATTTGTGTATTGCTTTTTTACACAGCAATCTTTTATTTTTTTAATCCCATTATATTAAATAAAATCGTAAATAATGAAATCTTTTATTTTAGTTAATAATCATAATTTAAAAAAAAATCATTTTAGTTATAAATATAAATAAATAATTGATATAACTAAATGATTTATTTAGAGTATCTCTAATAAAAAAATTAAAATGAAGGATCGGTGCTTAAATTTAGTCTAATGTTGTTCTACCTTTTTTGATGGAACAAAAAAAAAACTTAAGAATAGTCTCACCTAGTGATGGCCAAACCGGCCCGGGACCGCCGGAGGATCTGGCGGGACCGGTTATAGGGCCAAAATCTGGAACCGGTTATGGATTTGGGGTGTTTCGCGGAACCGGAACCGGTTATGGTCCGGCCCGACCTGATTTTTCAAAAAATGTAGCTATTTTTTTTAAATGTAGCCGTTTTTTGGCCTTCATTTTTTTTGTACTTTTTGCTTTCTAAACACTATATATAAGTGTATTTGTTGAGAGATTTATATATCAAGTTCTCGATTCACAAAAAAAACGCAAAAAAAGTTCACAATTTTCGGTTTTTCGCTATATTTTGTAAGACAATGTAATTTTAATTATAATAAAACGCATTTTGAAAGTGTATTTAAGTGAGCCAATTACAAATTTTATAATGTATTAAAAATATATATCATTAAAAAATAAAAATAAAAATAAAAAAATTATTTTTTAACAACCGGTCCCGACGGCCCATAACCAGTTAAAATAAAGTTTGAACAGACAACTTTTTTGAACGGGATCGGGACCCATACCGGTTACGCCGAGACCGGTTATGAGAAATCATGGGACTGGTTTTTGGCCATCATTCATCCAATCTTATTTTTGTTTCATGACACACCAAACATAAGACTATTTATTTTTGTCTCGTCTCGTCTCATCCATTCTGCATATCAAACGTACCCTTAAAAACCAATTCTCCAATTCTGCATACCAAACGTACGCTTAAAAACCAATGAAAAAATTGGTATTTATTATAATTTATGTTATATAAAAATATTATATTTATTTATTAAAAGCAAACTTTTGAATAAAAAGGAGAAAAGTGTGAAAAATAAAAACCATAGGCATAGAGGACCACCATCCAAGAAACCTCTTTTCAGCCGCGTAAGAAAGAATGCCAAAATATCGCCAAGAAGAACTGAAAATCTCGGTAAAATCTCGGCAACGTCATATTGGTTTTAATTATTGATGATTCTGTCAGCTTTTACGACCAACACTCTTCTCCTCTCCATCACCAGCTTCACATTTCAGAACCCACCTTTCAATTTCTCTCTCTAGCTCACTGTTGATTACCAGGGATCTAATGGAGTACGAGAGGATACACAAGCTTCAGGTAACTTGTTTCCTGCTGTTCTTCTTGCTAATTTACTGCTGCAAATGTATGTTTGAATAGTGTTTGCAGTCAACACATCACTTGTTTTCTCTCTTCATTGTTCAATTTATACACGCAACCAACAGATTGATTGATTGAGATGTCTTCATTCAATCGTCTTTATTTTGGTGTGAATTTTTGTACTTTATTTTATTTTATATTTTAATGGATTTCTGATTTCTGATGATCAACAATTCGTTTTAATTCGTTTTCCCTTTCCCTTTACGATCTTCTGTTTCTGTGAAATCAATTCGTTTCCCCCCTTTTCAATCAATGCTTGTGGGGTTTTCACTTTTCAGGGTTTTTGTTTAAATTTGATGCGTATTCAGGTAACAATCAATGAGGAATCAAATCATCAAATTAGCGATCCTTAATGGGTTTTTTTGTGATTCAATCCAGATTTTCTGGGTTTTTTATTTTGTTGTTTTTCTGTGTAATTGATGGGGAATGCTAGTAATTTTTCCATTTTTGTTCATGTTCTTGATTTTGTTTGAATGTAGGTTGGGATAATATCTCCAAGTAAATTGAGGATGAAATTGATGGGTCAGAGGAAAAAAGAGGGAGGATCTAAAAGCAATTCAGCAAGAACATCTCCTTCTAAACTTGAAGATACAGAGTTTGTGAAGAACAGCTTGTTAGCTTCCAACTCTGGTGTTTCTGATGATGAAGGTATGTATCAATTTCCCATGTTTTCTTCAAAAAAAAAACCATAAAATTTTGCTTCCCACAAATGGGGTTTTTATATTTAGGGGAATTTGCAATCAGATTTCAAGTTTCTTGATATATAACAAATTTTGATTGCTGTTTTTCTCCCTTTCCTTCTTTGAGATTTTGATGGATTCATGCCATTTTAGGCAAAATTTGTGATTTTGTGGTGTAAATCTCTACTGTTTTACTGAATTCTGAAGTACCATGAGATTAATGTATGCAATTAAGCTTTTGGATTATGATTATGTACCTAAAATTGCAGTTTCCGGAATGGGGGTTTCATCGGTGACATTGGATAGCTTGCAAATCAATCAGAATCTTGGACAACCGAAGGATGTAACGAAGGAGAATCGTGTGAGAACCCACCAATTTCAAAAGATGGATTGTGGTAATTCGAGTTCGGTTCATCCATTAAGATCATTAGAAGATGAGAATCTTGATTATGATAGTAATGCTAGTTCTTCTAGCTTCGAGTTTCATAAAGGCGAGCGATCGACCCATAATCCCATTTCAAGATCCTTGTTGAGACCCATGTCTTCTAAATGGAATGATGCTGAGAAATGGATAATCAATAGGCAGAGTATGCAGAACCATAATCCAAAGAACACTATGCAAAACCGGGCTAATCGGGCAGGGATGCTAAACGCGATTAGAGGTTCTTCTGAGTCCATTAGTTCGGTTAAGCGGGTCGATTTTTGTCAGCCCGCATTACAAACCGGGACCGAAAAGTTTTCATTTACCACCTCTGGACCGCAACACCACCCTGTTTCGGCTGAGTCGATCCATCCATGTCCTGAAAGTAACGATTTGAATGAAGTCGACACTAGGGATTCGTTGGTTGAACATAATTCAACCGACGATAAAACAGGTATTACGCCTTTCTTGACGTTAAATCTTGCATATTGCAATTTGGTCGTTTGTTGTTTTTGTCTCGTTACCCTTAGACCCAACCTTTGGGTGGGTGGGCTATACTAGGCTACCTCCGACTTTCCTTCACGTGGGATATACCGGGTTTGTTTTATCTGGTTTGGTTTATATACTGTCTCGTGGGACAAAGGTAAGGTCTGCGTACATCTTACCCATCAAACCCTTCCTTACTCTGTTTGGTTTGGTTTGGTTTATGAACTCGAGTGTGCTCTGCACGATGTACGTATGTTAATACGAGTATCAATGTAGGTTGTCATGAAGTAAGATCGGTGTCAATGAGAGATATGGGAACGGAAATGACTCCGATTCCAAGTCAAGAGCCTTCAATGACGTCCACGCCTGTCGGGGCTACAACCCCGCTTCGAAGTCCGAATTCTTCGATCCCATCCACTCCTCGAGGAGCACCAACATCGACACCTTTCGAGTACACGGCCAACAATGACACACGGAGTCCAAAAGAGTTGACGGAACAAGAAATGAAGGTCAGAACACGTAAGGAGATCTTACAGCTCGGAGTCCAACTCGGGAAGATGAACATTGCGGCCTGGGCAAGCAAAGAAGACACGGAAAAGAACGGGATGGCTGTTGAAACCGCTACGGAGGAGGCCCTGAGGATTGAATTCGAGAAAAGGGCTGCAGCTTGGGAAGATGCTGAAAAAACTAAACATAACGCAAGGTATATCAATCAACTGTAAATTGTAAATCGTATGTTCAGATTCATATGTGAAGAGATCAAAATTCAATCGATCGTAAAATATATGTTCAGATTCATACGTGAAGAGATCAAAATTCAAGCGTGGGAGAGTCAGCAGAAGGCGAAACTTGAAGCTGAAATGCGAAGAATAGAGGTAATTCAAGCATTTGCTTTTTGATGAAATATCAGCTATGCTTGGCAAGCTAGTTGTTGGCTAATAATTTGACTGGTAAATTGGTATTTATTTGTAAAAACCACTGTCCTAAAAAAGTAGACAGTTTTAAAATGTGTAATTATTACACTTTTTAATTAACTAAAATGACAATTTTAACCTTAATAATAGATTGAAAGATGAAAAAATGCAGAAAAACCCGTTGGAGTTTATTGAAACACTGTTTGAAGGAGCTTTTCAAAAAGCTACTTTATTGCCAACCAAGCAATGTTTTTTTTCAATAAGCTCAAAAAAAATAAGCCAGTTTATAGTTGCCGAAAATTGACGTTAATATTCTTCGGTAGTTCAATCCTAGTGTTATTTTGGGTATTTTATCTTATTATAAAGATCAAAGAAAGTTTTCCCGATTCAAACGTGTAACATTCTAGTCATAAACGATTTTTAACTTTATAACGAAATGATTGCGAATATTCGTTAAAGATTTTTGTACGATGAACAGGCTAAAGTTGAACAAAAGAGAGCCGATGCTGAAGCAAGGATGCTGAAAAAGTTTGCATTGACAAGGCAAAGATCGGAAGCGAAAAGGGCGGCAGCGGACGCGCAGAAGAGCAAACAGGCGGTTCGTGCAGCGGCACAGGCGGAGTACATCCGGCAAACTGGCCGGATTCCGCCATCATCCCCCAACAGCTGCTGTGGTTGGTCATAGAGTCCAGTTTGGTTTAGTTTCTGCAAATTATGATGATCCAAGAAGAAAGGAAGGAAGGAGTTTGGGATTTTGAATTTGAGTTGTGGAGACCCAAGTGGGGGTGGGGTCAATGGAGGGTAGAATGGTCCCATTAAAGTTTGAGGATGGTCAAAATGGGAATGGGGAGCATGTGAGGTTGTACTTTCAAGAAAATCTCTTTTTTGACCGCCTACATTGCCCCTTTGACTCATGTTTTTTTTTTTATAATAATAATAATAATAATCATTAAAATCATTATTCCTTTGTCCTTTTCAGTCCTCATTATTTTGTTTTTTATTATTTTTTTTAAAGTGATTTACGGTATTTGATATCTTCAACTTTGACCAACTTTAGTGAGGTTAGTAAGGAATTGTTTGTTTCTCTAGTTCATTTAGAGGTGTAAGGGTTGTTTGGTGGTTGCTGAATGGTTTGGTGCAGAATGGTTAAGTGGTCAGAATGGTTAAGAGGGTCAGAATGGTTAAGTGCTGAATGAAATAATGTTGTTTGGTAACTGTTCTCTGAATGACAACAAATTACTATTTCAACTCTATGCCTATTTCACCTATTTGAGGAAGTTGCAGGTTCTTAATCTAGGGTTTAACAGATTATTTTGGAAAATCCCCAAATCACTTGCAGAATGTGAGGGTTTAAGCATCTTAAATCTCGCCGAAAACCGAATCCATAGGACGATTCCCGTGTTTATTGGTAGCATCAGGAAGCTAAAAGGGGTTTATTTGTCATTTAATCGGAAACCGAATCCATGGGACGATTCCCGTGTTCTTGACCATGTTGATTTTTCTGGGAATTTTCTCGATGGCAAGATCCCGAAAAGCGTAAGAAATTGCGTGAATTTTCTCGAATGCGTTTATAGGGGATGTTCCTTCTAAGCTTGGAATGCTCGAAAATCTTGCAGTTCTTGATATCTCTAGAAACAGGTTTGTTGGCGATATTCCTGTAAGCCTCGTCAATTCGAAATCGCTTGTTAAGTTTGATTTCTCATCCAACAACGTTTCCGAGCAGATAGTGGTGGAATCGGTCGTCAATTTGGAATGCGACGTGAAGGCGACGTGAACTCGGTGAAGGAGACGGCTGGAAGGAGAGGAGATGGGGGGAAGGGTAATTCTGGAAAAATAAGCCTCTGAACCATTAGGCAACCCATTAGATGCAAAATGGTTAAGAGGTAATTGTCACCATTAAGATGTTCCATTTTTTTTTTGCCAAACAGCCTTTGCCTCTTACCGATTAAGAGGCTTCCTCTTAATGTCACCATTAAGAGGCAAACAAACAGCCCCGTACTTTTTGAATCGTTAAGAGGTAATCTTGTTTGGTAAAAAAAAGTCTGTCTCTTAATGATTTTAAATTTTTTTGAATGATTTTGCATCCTGAGCTTTCCTTAACTATTCAGCGCTTTAATTTCATCGTAAACAATTACAAAACAATTATATTTCATTTTGCATTATATAATGAGAGTCTCTTAATCATTATGACCACTTAATCATTCTGCACCAAACCATTTAGCAACTAACAAACAACCCCTAAATCTTACGCTAAATAATAAATTTGGTGTAAATCTCACTATTCACATCTCTAATGGGATCATTATTTTCCATACTAAATCTAGGCTTATTCTATCCCCACCCACTCCTAAGACTTTTCCCCTTACTTTTTATATACCCCTCCTATACAAAATAATAAAATATATAAAATCCATTTTATTTTTCAGTTTTAACCCTTCAATCTTTGTAATATTTTTTTATTATATTTTTATGTTTTTAATTTTTAATTGTAAAACCCAATTTTTTTTATTAAATATATAAATAATATTACATGGGCCTTTAAATATATTTTTTTATTAAATTCATTTGAAGTGTTAAAATATTTACGTAATTAATTAAAAGAAATAATTGTAGAAATCTTAAATAAATAAATAAATAATGAAAAGAAAGATAAAAAGAAAAATAAAATAAAATTGTTTTCTTTTAATCAAAAATTAAGATATTACGTCGGGAGGGGTCTGATGGTAAATGTCAGAAACTTGAGGGGCCGAATCTCATCATTTTCATAGATGAGAGACCTGTTTTGCCAAAAGTACAAATATGTTTGAAGAAAACGACCCATCAGCCAAAAACTCGCGATTTGGTCCGATTTCGTCAACTAATATGCCAAAACTCTTGCATATAAATATAGAACACCGGTTTATGATCATTTTGGTTCAAATAACTAGAAAAATCATTGAGTTTTGAGAAAAAAATTTGAGTTTGAAGTTCGGAGTCGAAAATCTCGGTTTTTCACCGATTTTGGGTGAGGTTTTTAATCAAATCTCTTGATTTTTATGTCTATGTCTTCGTTTTTAAGTACACTATCAAACCTCAATAGCCTCATGTCTCATATTTGTGTTTACGTGGTTCGATTTTATGTTTTTAAGTTGTTGAGTTTTAGTTTTAAAAACAAAACTTTAAATGAGTAAATGGAACTAATTTCTTGATGAAAATTTGTGTTCTTTATGTCAAAGTGTTGGTAAAAATATTACCAAGAGTTTGGTGCAAAAAAGAATGAAAAAAAAAAGATCAAGAAACGAGTCATTTTCGGGCTTAAAAAGGTCAAAATCGCGCAGCTATGGCTGCTGTTTCTGTTTGTGTTGCAACCCTGTTCGGGTCGGGTTGGCGGGTCTGGCCCGCGTCCGTTTACATTTTTGAAAAAATGGAATAAAGGCGTTAAGCGGGATTCAAACCCGCGACCTCGCCCTCAAGCTTCGGGCGCTAACCAGTAAGCTAACATTGAATTTTGTTAATCTAATACAGTTATTATATTAATATTAACTAAACTTTTAAGTTTCAGAGATTAACATTTAACCCTCCTGAAGTTTCAGAAATTTATTTTCTCCATAATAACTTTACGAGACTTTCATCAAATTTATTTGTATTTTGAAAAATACAAACTTTGACTCAGTTTCAATTATTTATCTCATTTAGTTACCAAAATGACCCTATAAGTGGGAAAACAGTATTTTAGCAATACTTTGCGTATTTGCTTCCATAATTTACCGAAATAACCACATATCTTGGGGATTGGTCTATGAGTTTCATTTTATATTATTATTTTTATAAAATTACCAAAACGACCATATATTTGGAATTCGGTATTTTAGCAATATTTTACGTATTTGCTTTATAAATTACCGAAATGACCCAATGTCTTGKGAATTGGTATCTAAGTGTTATTTTCAATCTAATCCTTATGAAATTACCAAAATGACCCTACAATGTGGAAATCGGTATTTTAGCGATACTTTACGTATTTGCTTTATAAAATTACCGAAATGACCCTATGTCTTGGGATTGGTATCTAAGTTCTATTTTGAATAAAATTTCATATGAAATTACCAAAATGACCCTATAACTTGGAAATCGGTATTTTAGCGATACCTTACGTATTCGCCCTATAAATTACCGAAATGACCCTATATATTGGGAATTGGTATCTATGCTTTATTTTGATTATTATCCTTATGAAATTACCAAAATGACCTCACRATTAGGGAATCGGTATTTTAACAATACTTTAAGTATTGCTTAATAAAATTACCAAAAAGCCCCTATGCTTTGGGATTGGACTTTTAATCACAGTTTTAATATTCGACTTATGAAATATACCAAGAATGTTCTAAATTAGGGAATTAGTTAAAGCTATACATTTGGTATTTGGCTTCTTAAGATTTACCGAAATGCCCCTAGACTTGGAAAATTGGTATTCAAAACATTATTTCGAGTATTAATTACGTTGAACTTTAAAGTTATGGAATGACCGTTATTTATATGTGAGTGACATGTTCTCACTGTTATTCACTTACAAATTTTAAAAGAGACGTTTTGACCACAAAACATTATTTACGTTGTGAACTATTTGGTTTAGTTATTTTGGTAAAATACTTATTGTTCAAGAAAATGTGAAGTGTATTGCATATTTTTATAAAATATACGAGCAACAATTAATATTATGTCGACGTCACATTATTAATAATATTTCGAGAAAATATTTGAGCGAACTTGAGATATTATGGTATCAGGGGATGATCAATAAAAGGAAAAGTCGTGTTAAGATTGTTAAGGAATAGTAATCAATTTAATTACGATTATTTAAGATGCTTAGAAATTGGTATAAAATTATCATGTAGGTTGCCGTTTTTGAGAGAAAGACATATCGAACGTTAACAATTCAAGGTGAGTACATTATGCAATTTTTATGGGATATATACATGACTATTACAAAAGTATTTTATCCATGATATTTGCATGATATGTTTATATGCATATGATGATAACTTGCTTATATTGATATGAAAGGTGATGTTGATGAGAAAGGTTTATGATGACTTGATATTATCAATATGATATTCAAGTATGTGTATAATGTGGAAAATGACGATGATGCATATGTGATTTATGTTATCACTTGCATGAGATGTAAGTTGCATGTCACGATGAGATTTGCATTAATGAGTGAGTATTGCAAATAAATGATATGCAATTAGTATGATTCGGCAAGATTCGTCCACCGTACGGGGTGGGTTGGACATGAAAGGAGGGCTTGCAATTCCGAGGTCTTGGAGTCCTCGTCCATAGAATACGCCACATACGCAAAGAAAAGTGACGAGCCGAGGCCTCACTTGCAAGATAATAACTAAAATACACTAAAACATTGTTTATATGTGCATGTCACGATGAGATAGTATTGCAAATAAATGATATGCAACTAGTATGATTCGGCAAGGTTCGTCCACCGTACGGGGTGGGTTGGACATGAAAGGAGGGCTTGCAATTCCGAGGTCTTGAACTCCTCGTCCATATAATACGCCACATACGCAAAGAAAAGTGACGAGTCGAGGCCTCACTTGCAAGATAATAACTAAAATACACTAAAACACTGTTAGATGTATATATCTCAAATTTTCATGTATCAATTGTCAGTAGACGCGTTGAATGAAGAAAGAGGAAACTCTGTTTTGAATTATGCTTGATTAGATGTTTTAATTAGCATTGATTATGTTAAAGTATTTTACGCTTCTGCAATTATGTAACAAATTATGTTTAACACATTATGTACTTTTGAATTTTTAAGTTCGTATTTGTTCATGACATAAGTTATTAAGAATATCGCCACGGCACTCGAACGAAAGGAAAAAAAAATCGGGGCGTGACATTAATATAT